CTTATATTTCTTCTTCGTAGTTGTTTTTTCTCTTTTCTGGAAGGCGACGGATGCCAAGAATTTGTCTGGACGAGTGTTACGTAAGGTAACGAGAGCTTAAATTAGAAGTGGCATTCTGGAAGTTGAATAGGTCATCGTATGTCTTGATCTGTGAACCCTTATTCAGTTTGATAGGACCAGACGAAGAACAGTTGGGAACAAGTGAGTTCCTTAGGAGTGATGAATCATTTGGGATGTTGTTGGTGAGACTTTCACGACTCGTGAAAGAGGTTGTTCTTAAAAATTTTAACATCTGATGGATACATAAACTGCGACGTAAATAATAATTAAAAAAAAAAGCCGCTAAAAATATCGCTATACTGGAATCTCGTGTTTTTCTCTATCCGTCCAACACAACAAGCACTATGATTACGATACCTTTCAGGCGAACGCAACCTCTTCAGAATTATTTTCTACGCCCATGTGTTGAACGTTTCCGCATTATTCACATCGTCCCATTCGCATTCCGAGATCGGCCGGGCTGGTTTTGCCGTGAGACTTGGCAGGAAAAAGAAAACATTTTTACCTAAAGGAGCAAAATTATCACCTAGTCCATTAAGCAATGCTTGCACCTATAAACTTGCAGAATTACTAGAAGCAAACGAACGTCTCCATATTTCCAGGATAATGAATGGAAGACATTTATATTCGGTTTATCTCCTGGTTTAATTAACCGAGTCATTACAACTTTTGAGCCTTTTTATATCAAAGAGCCAAAAAGTCGAGCAAAAAATTATCGGAACTCTGCTGGGTTAAGATGGACATGGTAGAGTAGGAAATCGTCTCGTCCGTAAAATAATTAAAAAAGAGAAGGAATAACTGGAAAATGTTTCGTGAGCTGCACCGTCCGGTGTCTTGGGATTCCCTCATGTTTATTTTTGTGTATACAAAATTTAGCTGGATGGTTTCGGAAACTGAATTTATTTCTCTTTTCTCACCGGAATTTAGTGGAGATATCGGAAATCCAGTCTTCCATAGTCGTTGTATAATTTAACAATTTAAATAGATCCCAGTCGGAATTTGTGCGTGTTTTCTATGAAATGGCCGTAAATATTTTCAGATGACGTCTATTTGATTACTTTCCTGGTGGAATCTTAAAATAGTCTCCCGTTCCATTTATTTTGGTTTTTTGTTTGTGGAAGAGACGTTCCGAAATTCTTGTTTCGTTAATGTAATTGTAAAAACTGTTGCAGCCACTTGGGTGACTGCAAACCAGATAAGTTAGTTGTTTCATAAATGTTTTAGATCCACAAAAACGCTCGGGGTTGAAGAATTCATTGATATGAGTCCGAATTTATGTGTCAAAAAATTTAAGTGTGCTGGAAGTCTCTTCCAAGGTGGAACGTAAAATAGACATGAAATTAGAGGTGGTATCGCGATTCAGTTTATTAAAGGAACCACATTTAGAAATTTGTTAACTTCAGTAATATAGTCAACCTTATTAAGAATTATCATGCAATTGCCTTTGTCGGCTTTTGACACCACCAGATTCTCATTTTTTGATTTTGAATTGTAAGGACTTTATAAAACGGAGTTCAGCTTTTGAGTTATCACTGTTACCTTATGTTATTCGGAGATAGTTTTGTTAACTACTGGAAATAAACCTGTAGTTTTAAAGTGTTGTAAAGAAATTAAAAAATATAGATTTTTAAGGAACTTTCATATCTGAGAAGAAACATTTAAAATTTCAGCGTTATTCTACAAAAGTTGTAGATTTTTATCATAAAAAGTTTTCATATTGATTATATCGTCGTTTCTGCTGCTCTTGTCAGAATATTTTCGGAGCAAACATCCAAAACCTAAATCATAAACATAAATTCACACGACACGAATAAATAAAAACAAAATATTTGCATTTGCATTGTATTTCGGTTGACGCGTTCGTCGTCCTGAATTCTCAATTTTAATAAGTTTAAGATGGAAAAGTCTGATAAAGAAGACAAAGAAAGTTGCTTCTGTCAATATTGAAATTATAAAAAGTCATTGAACTCAAAAAACTCACTGCGTTTTCATTTCGAAAGAAACAATCTTCTTATGGAAGAAAAATCAGAACGATGTGCTTTTGTCTAGGCGAAAATAAAAGAAAACTTTGTCGAGATGTGGCTTCCTTAGATTGTGAGGAATAAACCAGGCTATTTCTATGCTACGCTACACAGAGGTTGACAACTTCAACCAAAATTAAAATGGGTATTTCCAAAATATACGAGTAGAAATATTTTCATTGATTGTTTCTATATGCACCGAAGTTAAAAAAACATTTAACATTAAAAAATAGCCATATTTTTAACACGACTTGCATTAATTACGTTTTTTATAGCAGCTCCGTAGCACGAATTCCCATAATTACCCCATGAATATTTCCCCCATGTCGTTTTTTCGGGTGACCCTTATAATATTTTTAGTCAAATCGATAGTAATACGACATGCCATCTATAACGGCTGACATCGTTCCAGTCGCTCCAGACTTCCCCAATATCCAAACGATTTTCCTGTTCGCGATAATCCATAAAACCACTTAACGAGCTACTCGATCGTAATGGGTGGAATTTCGGAATTTTCGCTCTATCATCGCGAGAAGATCAATGATTCTCCGTGCTCGGTTCACGACCTGCTGCATAAAATCGGTGTTAATTAAGCAGTTCGTGCTGCTAGAGGTTCGTTTTAATAATCTTCACATTAAATGTTTTAGCACGACATTTTATTTTTAATGAATTTAATGGATGAGAGTCGGAGGAGATGCACTCTTGTTTTGTTGGGTATTTTATTGCTGGATCATGAAAGGAGTCGCGATTTTGCAGAAACGAAAAGTTACGCATTAATTAGTGTTGTCTCGAAATTGAAATAATCAAATCACATTTCCACGAGTGTTAGATTGAAATTTATAATCAGCTCAGATTTGCCTAATTGTGTATTATTAATGTCGAGGTAAAAAAGCCCTAGGAAATGTAACATGTTTAATTGTTCATTTTAAATATCTGCATGTGTTTGCATGCAACTGAATAGTTAATAAGAAAACTTTTTTTTAATCTTGCATTTTAAACCAGAAATATTTGTCGTAAAAAGTACAGACACTAGATATGAAATTATACAGTAGTATATGCAATATGTAAACAATGGCCAACGACAGATAGTTATAATTTATTATTGTGCGGTTATTTGTGCAAGCATTGTGTTGTAAATTGTCGTTTTTTTCCGGACAGTGACAGGAAAACGACTGCTACTGTGATAACCTGATAACTGTGGAAAACATAAATTTTTAAAAACTGATTGTAAAAAAAATTGGTCGAAGGTTAAGTCGACAGAACTTTCCTTGCCCCTGAAGTGCAGCCCAACAAATCCCACAAAACCAGTGGGTGGACTAAATAATAATTGCAAAATCTAAACGTGTAAAATTTAAAAAATCGAAAAACGGAGAAATCAAAAATAGAAATATCGAAGAAATGAAATCGAAAAATTTAACAATCAAAAGTCTGAAAAATCGAAAAATTGAAAAACTGAAAAATCGAAACATTGAAAAGTAGAGTAATTGAGAAATGGTAAAATGAAAAAATTGAAAATTCGAAAATCAAAAATTTAAAGATCGAAAAATTGAAGAATAAAAAAAATGAAAAATCTCAAAACTGAAATATCGAAAAATTATACGTATATACAATTTTGATTTTTTCCCAAAAATCTCGATACTTAAGGTGAAAACTCAACACGAATTCATAAATCTCAAATGGAGGAGTACGTTGTTTTACAGAATTTGTTATTGTAAAATTTGGGAATGACGCCATTCTATTATTGGTGGGAATCGGTAGACAAATTTTGGTTAGCGTTTTATATATTTAAACATACAAAATTTGACAACAATCGGTCCGGTAATTGCGGAGATCATCTGTCTAATAAAATCCGGATAGAAGGAAGGAAATGGAGGACTTACTTTTTCGTACTCTGGGGGTCATGAAACGTGGAGAAAACATGAAAGTAGACAGTCGCCCGATTACAACACAAAAATGACATAAATTTACATAGTGTTAACCTCAAACCACAAAGTATATTTAGGGAGTCACCATGAATAGTTCCATCGTATCGACTCCTGAATGGTTCAATATATTGCTATACAGTAACAAATTTAATAACATGCAGAAGTTTCACATATTCAGCCAAGAATATGTACTTTTTTGAGGTTAAAACTCCATGTATAAGTATATTTTTTAACGCCTTTAAAATCAAGGTACATACATAAATTAATAATTATGTACCTATGATACATCTACTTTCGAAGTAGTTTATGAGCAATTTTATTATAACTTTAAGCAATAGTTGGTTTAGTATTTAACACTTCTTTAAATAAAACATTTTAAAAAATAAATGAAATTCCTGCTTCAGTGACAAACATAACATTTGAGATAAGTATTAATGCGTACACATTAGGACACAGGTCCTACACCTCAGAGAAAAAATGCTCCACGACGAAATGTTACATTACTCATATAATTGTTCCATTTGAAAGTTACACGCTGAATCTGTTTAAATGGAACACTTGTATATATTTTTTTAAGATTTAAGAAAATTTATAATTTGAGAGTATCTGATTCTAATTACCAGTAAATTAAAGCGTCTGCAGTCCTGAAAACCGACTGAAAAAATATTACACGAAGTAATAAAACACACACTGCCCTCATCGATTGAAAACCCATTTATACCCATGATGACAATGATAAAGTTTTATTGATTATATATATATGCTTTACATGTTCACAAAACAAATAAGCAATTTTTTAACCCCGATGTTCACGTACCATTGGTTTCCCGAACACTTCGCACCCACATTACTAACAAACTTTATCTTTAGCCTTCCCTGGTCCTGTCTCGTCCCAACGACTTTATTAATAACGGCTTAGACCCGTGAAACAATCTTCGACCATTTCCCACGAAGAAACAATCTTCTAAATTGAGCGTTATCTTTTCTTTTCCAGGCCAAGCAGCGGGCGTCCGTGAAATGGCTCCTTTCGAAGGCGTTCAACAACAAAGTGCCCGAGAATCTAAGGGAGCCCTTTTACAAGGATCACGAGGTAAGACCCTTTCGTCTTAATCGATGCGTAATAAGTTAATTGGATTCTGCGGCAGAACCAGGAACATCTGAAGCCGCAGATCGTGAGGGCGCTCGCTAACGCCGAAATCTACTGCATGGCGTTGGGCAACATCTACTCGGACCCGAATTACCACAATTTGAACCATTGGTCCATCCTGCAGACGCTGGCTAGGAAAGGGGTGTACGTGTCGGAACCGTCCGATGCTCAGCTGACCGAGACCACTCTCATACAGACGAACCCGCTGCGAATGGTAAGCGAGTTTGGAATTGTAAAAAATTGGTCGAAGGTTATTGCGACAGGATTTTCCTCGCATTTGGAGTACATTCGAACAAATCCATCTTCTTTGAAAAATTATAAAATCTGATTGAAATTGCGATCTTTTATTTGTGATAACCTATATGCATTGAAACAAATATGGATAATACCAGTAACAGTGTAAGAAATTAAATGATTATAAATGAGTTTTGACACCCTATAATTTTTTGTTTGTCTACGACCGACAAGTTGAAAAATCGAGAAATTAGAAAATCTGATAAATGAAATCGAAAAAATGTAAAAATATAAAACTAAAAATAAAAAAAATTGCAAAATTACGTAATTGAAAAAATTATATAATTGTAAAATCGAAAAATTATTAAAGTGTAAACTGTGAAATTGAGGATCAAATAATTTTAAAATCTAAAAATTGAAAAATCAGATAACTGTAAAATAGAAAAATTACAAAATTTAAAAACCGAAAAATTGTAAAATTATGAATTGAAAATCAAAAACTTGATGATTTAAGATCGAAACAATGAAATTCAGATAATAGAAAAATTAAAAATTGGATAATTGAAAAAACGAAAAATTTAAAATCGAGGAATTATAAAATTGAAAATTGAGAAAGTGATTAATTAAAACCGAATAATTGACACATCGGAAAATTGGAAAATGGGATACCTGTGAAAACGAAAAATTGTAAATTAATTCAATTTGAAAAATCACAAAATTCAAAAAATGGATAATAATCGTAAACCTGAAAATTTGTTAAACTGTAAAAATGGAAAATTGCAAAATTTTAAATTCAAATATCGAACAATTCAAAAATTAAAAATCGAAAAATCGAAAACTCAAAGATTCCAAAACCGAAAAATTTAAAAAACTGATTCATTAAAAAGTTACACAATTACAAAACTGAAAAGTCGTATAAATTATTTTAACGACAGCCCAACATATTCAAATACCGCTTGTTTGAAAAATTTTATTATTTTTTTTTTTGCTTTTTGTTTTCTGCTGCCAACTTCTATAAAATTAAAACCGATTTTTCACTGTTCTGATCTCATAATTTTTCAGTCGCCCAAGTAATTTCGGAAATTATCTGTCTTAAAAAATTCGGACAGACGGTAGATAAACAGGCAGACGGACGGAAACGGGAGATCTATTTTTTCGTACTCTGAGGGTCATAAATCTTCGATAAAACATGAAAGTAGCCACTCGTCCAATGGACTCGATTACTATACATCCTTACTATACGCCCAGGAAATAAAAATGAAAAATCAGTAAAATATAAAAGTTACAACATTGAATAATGACAGAATTTCCATCGCCGCTGTAGTACACTACAACGAATCCAAAAAATTTTAAGATTTGATGAAGTAAAGATAAAGAAGCATGTTATGTGTATGTTTCAAGCGAGTATTTCCATTACAAAATTTTGTGAGGACACTTATAACAATTTGAATAGGTGCAGTGGAAAACCAATAATCAAGGTAGCACATTCCCATATTTTCGGGAGAATGGATTCCTGATTTGATCAGTGAAGTAAATTTACTCATTCATTAATTTTTATGAGTCACCTGTATAAGCAATTCTGAAAAATATGAATGCAATGAGAATTCACAAACAGACTCATCATATCTTGCACATTTTAGGTAGGATTTATTCGGCAAAATTTTGAGATGGCGTCATCAATTTGGGGGGGGTTATTTACATTCACGGGGCCACGGTTTGGACTTATAAGGGGTATCGTTGGTGAATGTAAATAAACAAAAAGTAGTGAATCACTGAGCGAGGTTTATGGGTGTCGGGTTGTAGTGTTGATGGATGGATTATTTAAGTTAGGAATTGCGGTTTTTATAATAATTTGTTAAGGAAATGCGTGCGTATTTAACGGACAGTAAATAAACTTTTCATGGTTTTTGTGTTTTTGTCAGTGTTATGAAAATGTTGGGTTGTTAAGATGTTAATTTAATGGGCTATAGTAAGTGATGCAAATCAGGTAGCTGCGGGATTACACGAAAAGTAAATAATTGGTACAGTTTTTGTTGTGGTTGGGTGTTTGAGCGTCACGTGCAGAACGGTGTTAATTCGAAAATGTAGGTTAAAGTTTCGTCAGTATATTTTATAATTATATTGATTTTCGGAAATAGTGGTTGCTGGGAACTAATTGGCAATACCATGTAAAATCAGAAAACACGTTGATTACATCTTTTTCTAAAATAGGAATGTTTTGAGTGGATCATTTTAAGGCCTTTTTATTTGAACAGATTTATCAATTGTCGGTTAAGGTATTAAGGTTTAAATATTGCAGTGCAATTTTAATGCCACGTCCAGCTATTTTCAAAATTATATTACTTGTTACAATTTTTGTAATACACGTTTTTATTTATTTTTATATATCTATGCCTATTTACGGACGTATTGAATCAACAAGTGTTGTTGTCCATTCGACGCCTATGTCTAATTTTTAGGGATAATAAATTATTCGATGCAACATTCTGCAAAGTCATTGGCAAAGCCAACATTTTTGCAGACTAACTAACGAGTATTCCACCTGCATTTCAATGTAGTATCTGTTAACCCCTCTCTCTTCTTCCTGCACCCGACAACAATCGATTGCATTTCAGATTGCTTTTAAGACTCCATTAATTCTGCATTGCGATGTATTTTTCTCGTCTGTGGTATACTCTTGTAGAATAAAATGAACGATCATGAAACCTGCTAATTAATTTCTCTTTTTTGCGCATAGCTTCCTCGGTGTCTTTTTATTCTACTCTGCAAATATTTCACTGAGAAAAACGAAAACAATTCTCTCACAGAACTCCACCGAAAATAGCGCCTCGTAGGAAAGTTACATTTCAAATATAAAAGTTTCTTCTGCTCGGACAAGTCTGGTAATAAAAAGAACATCTTTCATAACGGATCGGTGTCAGAAAACTGTCGTTATTAATTAATTGACATTCATCAGAAAAAGGACGTTTCCTGAGATAATTTATTAATGTAGAGTCGAACTGTGAAAATGGATTAGGATTGATTTTTTTGCCGTTCTGAATGGGCCGGCAGCAGATGGCGACTGCTTTAGTGGGTTAAACTCGAACAACATGCAGATTATGTCTAGTCTTGTGGAAAGTACAATACATAATTGTATAATATCTTCTTCCGAAGGATCAGTTTTCTCCAATTAAAAGCAAACATTACGGTTGGACGTTCGTTCATGATTTGCGGATCAGGGTCAGTTATTTAATTCACTAGAAAGTGAGCTGTGGTTGAGGAAGTGATGATCATCCTGTTAAGAATGAGTTCGCCTAGGGGCATTTAATTCTTCTTAAATTTTGTTTAGCTGTTATAAAGTTTGTCAAAGACAGTTTTGCTTCGAGAATACACTATAAGTATTTAGACGCCAAAAAACGTAAAAAAAATATTTTTCACTATTTAGGCACTTATTTATATCAGTTTTTAATGAGGCCAATTTTTATTTTTTATAAATTTTCGATTTCTCGATTTTTCAATTTATTGATTTTCTGATTTCTCGAATTCTCGACTTTCGATTTTTCAGTTTTTCAAGTTTTTGATTTTTTCGATGTTTTAAATTTTCGATTTTTCAATTTTTTATATTTCGAGTTTTCGTTTTTTCAATTTTTCAGTTTTTTAAATTCACGATTTTTCGAGAAAAAACATTTCAGTTTTTCGATTTTTTGATGTTTCGATTTTTCGATTTCTCGGTTTTAGATTTTTTGGTTTTTCAATTTTTCGATTGTTCAATTTCTCAATTTTTCGATTTTTAATTTGTCGACTTGGGGAATTTTGATTTCTCGATTTTTTGACTTCTCGACTTTTCGATTTCTCGATTTCTCGGTTTTTCAATTTTTCCAATTTTTTTTTTGGTGTATCAGTTTTGGAATTTTTCAATATTTTCCTTCAATTTTTCAATTTATCAAATTTTTAAATTTTAGGTTTTTCAATTTTTTTATGTTAGTTTTTTCGATCTTTGGATTTTTCGACTCCTCGGTTTTAGATTTTTATGTTTTTAAATTTTTTGATGTTTCTTACTCTGCTTAGTGCCAGGCATCAACCTGTCATAGTGCAAACCGCAAATCCGGAACATTTACACCTTTTAAAGGTATTAAAAACTACATAACGAATCTTAAATTGCAGCATTGTCCATGTTTTAATAAAGACGATGATTCACGCAACTGCACAAGGTTAATTTCGATTAAACTATGGTCTTAATCCCCAGAGCGCTCACATGGCCGTCATCGAGTCTATTATGGTGCTGTACGCAAGGGAAGTGGTGAGTTCGGACAGGGTGTTAGCTGCTGTTCAACGTTTCCATCACGGAAAACAACCAGCGCCACCTCTACCGGAAAACCACGAACAGGGACTGTTCTTGTGGATGTCGCATGCCGGTGAAGCCCTCAGGAAAAGGATAGAACAGGAGGATAGCGGTGTCAGCAACGGAGAAGGATCGGTAATTATTTCAGCGTACTAGTGACGACGAGTTTATCAATATTTGCGTACTATCATAACATACAGGGTGACCGACTGAAACCTCCCGATCTCGGCCCAATCAACGAACTGAAAGATCTCGTGGATGGCGTTGCGTTAGCGGCTCTCATATCCTATTACTGCCCCGACGAACTGCCATGGACGGATCTGAAGATCTCTTACGTGCCGAACGTGCAAGACAGCCTGCACAATTTGACCCTGGTTCAGGACTTCTGCAACAGGTGTCTGCCGGTATCCATCTTTCATATCCAACCCGAAGACGTCACATACATGCGAGAGTAAATAGATACATTTCGTTATTGTCGAATCCTAAATGATTCCGTTTTTCTTTTCCAGTTCAATGAAACAGAATCTGGTCGTGTTCCTCGCTGATCTCTTCAACGTGATAGAAATTCATCCTGCCAAATGCGTCAGATATCCAGGAATGGATAAATTTAACGGTCAGTTTGGTAGCGTTTAGGGACTTAGTCGTGTTATAATGCTTGTTCTGTTTTGTTTATCGATTCTTGAAGACGAGCGGACCGAGAGTGACCTTAATAGGTTTAGGTCTTATCGAATTTTTCCCATCTGATTTGCATAAATGTATATACTACGAATTGATTTTTCTGTGATACAGTCATTCGTGTCTCAAGTACACTTAGTTTTGTTTTGGCTTTCTGTTCAGTAGTGTGCTTTTTCTTTTCTTTTGCTTGGTGAATGGTGAATAAACATGTGGTGGTGGTTTTATTTCGGTAAGATTCAAACTTGACGGAACTTCCCGGCTGGGTGTCGCTAGAACTACTAATTTCATCGGTGGAATGTAATGAAGAACAATTACGTCGGCTTTTTTATGAAATGTTATTTTTTCGCTAAATGTTCAATTTCCAGCGCAGTGAACTTTTCGTTATTCGAGGAATTGCCGTTGTTTGCGTGCGTTATAGTATAATAGAAGTTTTAATGAAAACATTATTTTGGTCCCGTACATTATTTTCTTTTGATCGATTTGTACTGAAATTAAGTTTTTTTTTCTTGTAAACGGATCGTTACATGTACGTATACATAACGTGTGTGTCTTAAAAATATTCAAGTTAATGCTATTTTCCACGAAACTGGGACAACAAGGAAATGTATGTACCTCCAAAAAACATTGACCCTATACGAAAATGTCTACTTTATCCATTATGATAGATGTAAATCGTTTTCTAAAACAGCTGACTTTTTTGGAAAGCAGAGTTGAAAATTACACACTGCGTTATTATTAATTGCGTAAGTAAGTTTGATTTCGGAGAAACTGGAATAAAACAATTAGTCTTTATATTCAGTGTTAGGTTGGCTATATTTGTCTCAATTAAAATAAATCAAAGTAATATATTACTATTAAAACGTTTCAAACAGAACACACGAAGTTTCTTTTTTCCAATGAGGAATATAATTCTTTCTAACAAGTTTGACAAAAATTCTATCGTGCTTCTAGAGAGGAAAGTAGGCATTTTCTTCACTCAGTGAAAACAGCCACTTTCTTCACTGCTAAGCAACTATTTTATTTCGTTTAATAAAATGTGAGCCTGATAGTAGTAATTTTGATTGAAATATTATATTTCGTACATTTCGTGTGTAATAATTATTTATGGTGTTGTTCTTTTGATATATATAAAAATAAGTAAAAACGGTAATGCACTACTGCAGTGTAGAAAACTTTTGAATTTATGATGAATATACCTTTGAACAAAAATTCTATAACAACTTTTAAATAATAAACGGCAATTCAATTTTGGTTTTTTGACGATTGTAGTACCGTGTTGTGCAAATCTCACAAATGTATTTGAGGAGCAGCAATTTGCAATTTATTTAGTGAAAACCTGAAAGAAATCCACTACGGTGGTTCGTGAGTATAAATCTCAATTAGGTGTCGTAAACACTTGCGCAATCGTAGTCTCTGCGCCCACCTTCAGGCTTACCTTTTTGTAATTACATAATCGATGGGGCGTATAATTGTCTGAATCCGAAATGTAAAAAACGAACTGTATCATTTTGGTCTTTATTAAGTTTTTATTAGCATTTAAGATTATATAAATGTGCAGATATCTAGAAAATTATTAAAGATAAGATCTAACTGTAATTAACGAAGACATCCTTTCGTGTAGTGTAGTGAAACAGCGTATGACTTCAAAAACGGGTGAACAGCATCGAAAAATTAAAATTATCTAAACGAAAAACAAAAAAAAAAGAACTCTTGAAGAAGTTATTAACTGAAAGTGTCCAGGAAGCTGCTTGTACATTACACACGTGCTTCTACTTTTCTAGGATATTTGTTTTTATTGATAAAGTTGATCAGCGACACATTATCGTCGCCATTAATACATGGCATTTCATACGAATTTTTTATTTAAGTTTCTGTATTTTTGTATCACGCATCGCTTAACTGGGAGGTTCCGTCTCCTTGTAAACCGACGAAAGTAACAACAACTGCACGTGTTTGCTGCTTTAACTTTGTTGTTAGTTTTGTTACTTGGTAGTATTGGAGTAACTACAGTTAACAAGTTTCCTTGTATGCTACTTGTGCGCTCACAGAGGGTTTCCCCCCACGCAATGAGCACGGGGTGGCGCATAAGCGAAACCTACTGCAGACGGTGATGACACCCATCCCGGATCTGCGCAGCGGACTCGATGATCCCGCTGCATCCGCCGCCTTCCAAGGTAATACCAGAATGTACAGTCGTAGGTATCATCAGCGCACGACCATTTTTTACTTAGTTTCGTTCGTATGTGCGATAGCAGCACCAAATTTTAGCCGAATGGAAATTTTGTGTTGGCTAGTAGACGTAGTAGACGGCGGTAGTGGAGGAGGATTAGGGATTCATTCAATAGCTTGTTCTTTATTGATGCTCTTGCATGAATTTTGTTTAACTTTTCCAGTTTCTAACCGATGTAGAGTATTCATGATTTGAGTGACGAGCGTGTCTAAAATTTGTAAATATAAACTTCGTGTAGTCGAGCTTTTTTTTATTATTATTGCAAGCTTCATTCACATTGTTTGAGTTCGTATGCAGTTTTTGTTGTGTAAGTATGGACATGTTCACGTGTAGTTTTCGTATAAGGGCAAGGTGTTCTATCGTTAACATTTTTTGTTATATTCATCCTTACCATTCATCGTGTTTTATCTTTAAGTTATATGTTATGTCCGACGAAACCGTGACCGATATAAGTAAAATTTACATGTGTTACGTTTGCGGCTGTAATGTTAAAATTTTCAGTAATATGAAGACACATCGAAAAGTGTTAACGAAAAACTTAGGGCCACTTTAACGAGGTGTTTAGCGACGTCTAATTGGCGTAGGGTCGGTCACGTAGTACTTTAACAGCGTGTTAAAAATTTAATCGCAATCAAATATTTAATTGAGCTTCTCTAAATCGGAGCTTAACTTTATAGGCATTTTTATTTACAGGTGTGACTTTTGTAAGAATTTTGTTAGTCAGTAAACATAGTTGTTAGTGCAAAAAACCGCTGATCGAATAGAGTTTTCGTCACAATCTAAAAATCTGTCTTGTTGTAGATGTGCTGCCTAAGTATTATCCGTTTATATATTAAAAATCCATCAACACTGTAATTTAATTAAAGGAAAAGTTACGTTCAATTTCGTACTCAGCCTTACCAAGTTCATGTCAGAGTTAAAAAAGTTTTGGATTAACTTTTTTTAATGGACTTACATCACTTGATTACAATTAAATTTTCATTCCTGTACTGTGCACTTTGTCACCGACGTCAATTGTTTCAGTTTTTATCCCTAGCTAAATCTGAAATGGTTCATAATGCACATATTTTAAGTTTTAATTTTCCCGTATTATTATTATTGGAATTCCTCCTATTGGAATTATTATTGTTATTTTAGACAGAATTTCCTGGTGGTAAAAAAATTCATCGGCAAAAAAATCACGTCGTGTTTTGTTTGTGATTCACTTCACACCAGTTGGTTTTATTATAGAACTGGCTTATTTGGTATTATCTCTCTCTCTCTCTCTTTTTTTTTGAAACTAATTATTCTGAACGCACAGTAGAAGAAAAATTAATAAATAAATTTAATGTTCTGTTTTATTTTAAATATTTTAATTTTTTGTGTTTCTATGTCTATCATATATAATCTAGTTCTTCTAATATGGCTGCATGTTATTTTGTAGTTATTATGTTTCTTCTTATTGTTTTCCCTCTATTCTTTTTTGAGGTCACCACTTACAAATAAGTCGGATTTTTTTTTGAACTGTTAAATAAATATTTGTTTTTAATTACAGTCTGACAATTATAATTATCTACCTCGATTGATAACTCAATTTAATGGCCTGAACCGCTATACAAAAACGTATTAAAGGACTCCACTAAAAAAAAAGTAACAGGCTGTAACCAGAACCATTCCAACAATCCAACGCCTGACTAGAAAGCAAACGTTTTTTCTTTCCTACAACATGATGCCATCACCTATTTATCTAGGTGTTTAAACAAGTCGACGTCCGTCGTAATGTTAGAAAAACCTTGACCTTGTACACTAGCTTGTTCGCATTCTAGACGTTGCAAATGTACATAATTATAGACACACGCATAAATGCATACAGTACGTTAGGTACACGTTTTAAAAGAAACAAATAAAATATATATATATCATATATATTACTTTTTCAATCCGTTTTGACCCTGACCGTTCCATCCTCAGTGACGAGATCGACGCCAACCCACGTGCCACTCCGTAAAACCAATTCTCTGCAGCAGAGCATGTCCGAGATGAGCGAGGACAGCTTACGAAGGGGATCCGAAGACTCGTTCGTCGTGCATCGGGGCAAGAACATTCCCACACTGAGGTCGGTGGTCCATGACGAGCCCCTGATCCCCGGCCGACTGAAAGTCAACAAGGAGAAGCAGAACAACGACAGCAAAGCCGACGAACGGGGCGAGATTGCGGCCGGAAGGCCGAGCAACTGGGAGGAGAACCGCAAGAGTACGTTTGCGGGAAGGAGGTCCCGGAGGAACTCGACGAGCGACGACTCGCAGTTGACCATCGAGAACTTCGGGGGTAGTCAGGATAATTTAAATTTTATCGGGAGGAATCCGGATAAAGAGGTGAGCGTACGGGATGTGGAGGATGTGCTCTACAATCAGATTACATGTTAGATTATTCGCTTTTGTTGTTGCATCGTTCTCTTAATATATTTTTGTAGTCGTAAAATAAAAAGGAAAATTTTTGAAGAACGGGGTGCATCTCGAGAAAGTCGGAGTTTAGGAATGAAATATCCTTTATTCGTTGATCATTAATTGCCAGATTCTTATTAGTTCGTAATTTCGTACTGCCATTGTTTTATTCAGTGATTGTTTAATGAGTGGTATACCGTAGTCCAATTTTTGTACACTGATTTCGTTCTTCTGTAGCTGAAGATGCCCTTTGTGGATTTTCTCCTATTTTCTTGGGCCATTATCAAAATATTCCCCTAGTTTGAAGGCTAGTTATAATATAAAAAAGTGTGGCATAATTATTTCCATATAGTATTTTTTCCAACTTTCCAAAGATTTCCTCATAAATGTATAACATGATTTTCGTAACGATTTATCAGTAAATGTTTAACAGAAACCTGAAAGTTGATAGATAATTTTGTTTCTCAATAATACCTCGTGGTTCTAGGCTTAAAACATAGAATTGGAATACATCTCTTACCATTCATTTCGATTTGCAGCTTCAAGCTATTTTACTGACGATGTTATTCCCAATCATTTCCATTGTACGTACCGCCACTGAAAATTTGCCAGACACAGAACTAAAATCTATATCTGTGCTCTTCCCAAGGGTAGCAGAGGACTACCATATCTATGTTTTTTCTAACTTGACGTCGCTATCATTTCGTGTCCACACTCTTAAAAACGACACAATACATCAAGACATCTAGAATATACAACAAAAGTTAAATGTTAAATAAAAACCACACTAACCTTGTTGTTCTTAAAAATGTATTTATTATTAAGGCTCTACCACACCTCAAGAAAATTTCTATTTTAAAAGATATGCAACTTGTAAAACACCCATGCTACCTCGTTATGACAGCTGCCACTCATCTCTAAGGGTTAAAATCGTTTACTTCGTTTACAATAAGTAGGTAACTAGTTTTATTACTGCTATTGTCAGCGGGGGAAGTGTATCCCAGCTTGCAGGTAGAGCAGAGTAAGGAACTAAAATATTTATCTACTATGAAAGAAAACAAACAATATTTCTTAACTTACGTTCGAGAAGTAAAAACGCAAAAACACGTCTATTGGTATATAAAAATTGCCATTTTGTAATATTAGTTTCAAAAGTTTTGAGCGATATTTGACAGGTGTATGACGTCATCGATAATTTTTTAAATAGCACCTCCTACCTTTTTTTAGCATAAAGTCCCTTGAAAGAGAATTTTTGATATGCGGTTTAACCTAATTTACTGTCATAAGAAAAGAAAAAAGCCAAATGTGTGTTTTAAAATAAATTAATAAAATCATTGTCAGAGACTGTTGAGATCTTTACTCGCAATACACACAACAAAAAAATGCTTGTTCATATATATAATTCCGACCATAATTCTTCCTCTTATTTTTAAATTCCTGTTTCCATAAAAATTCGTACGTGTTGGGCATATTCTGTACGTAGGTAGAAAAGTAAAATTGAATTTCCAAGAATATTTTATTGTAGGTAGGAAGGTTCGTTATTGTGAGTATTTCTTAGTAATCTTGGAATTTTTCAACCCGAAATCTTAAAAATTTAGGTAGGTACATACCTAGTTACCTCTCGGAATGTATTTTGAATGAAGGTGGAAGGTTATTTCAACAGAACTTCTCTCGCCTCTGCAATACAATAAAACAAACCCAGCTTTTTCGAAAAATTATAAAATTTGATTATGCGAATTTAATTTTTTTTATGAGAACCCGGATATGTTAAAATTTTGTCCAAAAATTCTAGATGTCTAGGGTGAAAATTCTACACGGATTTACACACCACAAGTGCAGGAGTATCTAATTTTATCAAATTTAAAAAACTTTGTATTATAAATTTTGGAGATGACGTCATCCCATTGGTGGTGGAGATGATTTGCCAAATTTTAGTTAGCGTTTAACCATGTACATGATATTTCTAATATACATACAAAATATGGCAATAATCGATCCAGTAGTTTCGAAGAACACTTGTCTAATAAAAAATCGATACAGACTCCAGACAGACAGATAGACAGATAAACAGACAGACAGACAGACATACGGAAACGGGAGACCACTTTTTTCGTACTCTAGAGGTCATGACACGTCGAGAAATTAGTACTGGACATAGAATTGTTGACATAGGCCACTTATTAACAACACTGAAATCAATCAGTCATATTATGTTGGGTTGCACTTTAGATAATATTGAAATAACTCATGAAAATTGTTATGGTTTAAAAAGTGTTTTCTACTACAAATGTAATATGTACGGAATATTAGGTAATTTTTGTACAGAACCTGAAAATCATATATACAAAGTCAATTATGCAGCTATTTGCGGAGTTAGATCAACGGTCATAGGTTATTCTCATATTTCAGAATTTTGTTCAGATCTAGATATCCCTCAAAAACCCCAGGCGACATATCGTAATCGCATTCATTAATTTTTTTGAGTCACCCTGTATATGCAAATCCAAAAAATATGAATGGAGTGATAGATCACAAGTACAGGCTCATCATATTTTGTACATTTTAGATATGATTTATTCCACAAACTTTTGAGCTGACGTCATCAAGTTTTTGGAGGGGATAAGCAAATATATTTTGACTAAACATTTATTATGCTCTTTATGACCTTAAAACATCTGCAAGATTTCAGAGCATTCGGTTTTGTAGTTCCTGATTAAATCAATAAAATATATTTACGCATTCATTAATTTTTTTGAGTCACCCTGTATATGCAAATCCAAAAAATATGAATGGAGTGATAGATCACAAGTACAGACTCATCATATTTTGTACATTTTAGATATGATTTATTCCACAAACTTTTGAGCTGACGTCATCAAGTTTTTGGAGGGGATAAGCAAATATTTTTTGACAAAAGATTTATGATGTTCTTTATAGCCTTAAAACATCTGCAACATTTCAAAGCATTCTGGTTAGCAGATTAAAAATTAAATTTCAAAATGTTGTTTTATAATTTTGATTTTTTTTCCAAAAATCTGGACATTTCGGGTGAAAAGTCGATTCAGAGTTGTAAACTACATGTGTAGGACTATGTTATTTTATACAATTGAAAACCCATTTACTATGTACAATTTTGAAGTGACGTCATCGCATTAGTGGTGGGGATGATTAGACAAATTTTGGTTAGCGTTTTACCATCTACATGATATTCTTAATATAAGTACAAAATTTCACAACAATCGGTCGAGTACTTTCAGAGATTATCTGTCTAATAAAATCCGGGACAACAGACGGACAGACGGACGGACAGACGGACAGACAGACGGAAATGGGAGACCTATTTCTTCGTCTTCTAGGGGTCATGAAAGATCGAGAAAACGTAAAAGTAGAGAGTCGGCCGACGGACTCGATTACAATACTTCCTTTGCTTACGCTCGGGAAGTAAAAAATACTTTATGTAGGACTCAAAAACAAACTTTGTAGTTTCTGTAAAATCTATATGAAACAGAAAAAAGAAATTCCAACACATACCTGTTTTAAAAACTGGGAGCAAACATCTATGTCCATGAAAGCTTCAATTATCTTAGAGGGATTTACTTTAGATACTTTTTAGGAGAATTATAGGCGACGAGGATAGTAGCGTATTAAAAAAAGTTCGGGCTGCAAAACCAAATGATGCATATTATTTTATAGTAAAAATTGAATGTAGAAATCACATACTTCGTAATTATTGTTCCAAAATTAGAGAAATAGTTAAAACAACGAAAGCAGATATTAAAAATGTTTTTAAAAATAGTATTCTAAAATTTAGAACAGCTATTATAAGTGCTATTAAATTTAGCAAAAATGAGCCTCTTCCTTCTTTTCCAGCATATATTTGGCAATCACGAACAATGTGCAAGTTATTTTTGTCATAAAAGTGGACAGTCAAATGATATTTTAATTTCTACTTTCGCAAATGGTGTTTTATACGAACCTTACAAACAAGTTTTAAATAGAATTGCAACTTTGTCGTCTAGTTTACTTTTTGATATTGAGAACAATGCTGTGGAATGCTACAATTTTGTCGTTAATAAATTTGTGGGAGGAAAAAGAATAAGTTTTCAAGTTTTTCTGCACGAGGATCGTATCAAGGGTGATGCTTTCCTGCGGCAATAAGTTATAATAATAAGGGTACGTTCCTAATTCCGTTATTCAAAAAAAAAATTGGGGAGGCCAATGTTAGTATACGAAGGCGTTTGTGGAACAAAAATTGAAAAAAACAAAAACGATTAATAAAACTAAAATTTCTATTAAAAAATTGCGTATCCGAAGTCTGGATTCCGGTAAAAATAATATCGTCAACGATGAACAAACGAAAACGAAGTGTATGAAAGAAAAAAATCGGATTTATTAATAAAGCTGTCACAGAGTAACGTAAATGCTATTGAAAAAGGTACTTGTGGTCAGCGAATGTGTAGGGAATGGAGTAAAGAAAGGACAAAATGAGAGACGGAATTAACATCGCAAATACCGTTAAAAGTATTGTGCATTCCGATAAAACTTTATGAAAAAATTGCCCAAGTCTATACAATTTGCTATTGACAATGAAAAAAAGGCCAAAGAAAAATTTGAAGCTCTAACAAATTTGAAAAAAATTTTTAGGAGCTTCTCCAGATGGGTTAATAAATTCTAATTCAATTGCAGAGATTAAATGTTCATATGCGGCTTGCAGTAAAAATATTAAAGAGCTATTAAAAATAAAATCATTAATTTATTGTTCAATAAATGCAGTTATTACAATTACCTAGTTTGAGCCCGAACCACAACTATAGGTATGTATCAGGTATAACAGGGTCCAGTGCATATAACTAAAAGATATATATATCCTTCTTAATGCTATTGTCAGGTACTTCAAAGGGTGGTCAAATAAGCTTAAGGTATTTAAAAGGTGCTCTATTGTGTGGGCCATAAATTACAGCTTACAGCTTCAGCTAATATTTTGGGTTGCCTAACTTACCAAAATTTGCCCAAAATGCTTTGCAGTTTTTTTACAATAACTAAAAGAAGTAAAATTTTAACAGAAAACGAAGACTGGCGCCTAAAATAGAAAAAAATTCTCTATCACCTCGATATTTTTTAAAAGCACACCGAGTTATAGTTTTCGCTAAAAATCCGCTGGGGTTTTACGCACTTTATTTTTTATTTTAAAAACTGCTACGTTTTTTAAAAAATACAAGACGCTTCCTTAAAGATTTTTATGTCATTAGCACGCACATGTTTCGCCCTGCTCTTCAACTGTTAAAATAAAGGCGCAAAATGGGTTGGCGTTTTGCCTTGTTTTGGCATCTTTTAATGACTGTGTGGCGGAGCCTTAAGCATAAACTTAACCACTGCATTGGACGCCTTGTTCCAGATGGGCGTGCACGTGGGTCGAAAAATCTCCGCCCCCTCATTCCCCACCGAAAATCCCGCCGTGCGCTCGTCGATCCAGGACGCGCGGGGTTCCATTCAACTAGGTTACGACAATGGCTGTGAAAAAAACGACGACGAAACGGAAAAATTTAAGCTGAAGAGGCAACTGAGCAGCGACGACATCTCCTTACGCAACATCCTTTCCAACAAGGAGAACATAATGAAGGACGTCGTCGACGCCGAACTCTCGAATCGGATGAGCTTCGCCGAACTGAACAAAAAGGCCGGCGACCACCGCGCCATCCAGCTGGTGTACATGCAGCACGAGAAGGAGGAATACAAGAAGCCGCCAAGCACGAACGGCAACCCGGAGAAGAAGACTTCGTTCGCCGCCCTGCCGAACACCACCACGTGGCAACAGCAGAGCAGCAACGTCCAGCAGGTCGGGGAGACGAACGGCGGCCCGGAGACGGGCTCCGGGACGGCGGTAAACGCGGCGCAGCTGAACGACGTCCGGCTCAAGCTGGAGGAAAAGAGGAGGCTGATCGAGAGCGAGAAGCGGAGGATGGAGCTGGCGATGAGCAAGCAGAGGCAGAAGGTGGGGAAGGCGGCTTTCCTCCAGGCCGTGGCCAGGGTAAGCGCGACGCGCGTGCCTGATTTGTGTGTCTGAATGTCATCATCATCGTCATCATTGTGCGGCGCTTTAAATGTACCTTTCATTTTTTTCGTTCTTTGTTTGGGTCTCCTCTTCCACGTCTTGTAACTAATCGAATGTGTCTTTTAGCTAACTGAAATGGTAAGAGGTCGTTGCTAAGTTTTTTTTTGTTTTTAGAGTTTGGATGCTTTTGGTGGAGGAAGGGACTGTCTTCGAGAGAGAGGAGACAATTCTTTTCTCGCGGTTCTGTGTATATGTATATATTTCTTGTGGAGATAGTCGATGTGTTTGTTTGCATGTTTTTGTCGATGTTCTCTTTGTGGAAGCGTGCATGAGTTGGTTTACGGGCAGATTTGAAACGAAGCCGGTGGTATTGACAGTTTGAAATCTGCAAGTAAAGTGCTCTAGCTCTTATACGATAAACGTTGAAGGCACACAACAACCGACACGATAGAATTAGAGCGAAGGAGATAGTGGAGACACGTTGTAACCGATTAGGGTTAGTTTTAGACACATTAGTTGACACGAATTAGACCACGGTGGCCAGGGCGGACTTCCTGGTGTTACTCAACTTTCGTATCTATTCATTTATTTTTTTTCGTTAAAATTCATCGTTTTATTTTTGGTTGCATGAATAGAAAAAATATTTTGCAGAAAAGTATATTTAATAATAATAGATTAATATGACATTCATACGAGTTGCTTTTGTGACGGTAAATAATCCTACAAAACACGTCAACGCTATGCTGAGATTTTCTATGTCTCAAGGGTAATAATAATAATTGACATCAGTTTGTGTATATTTATATATATATATATCGTTCAGTATGTTTTTGCACAAAGGTATGGTATGTAAATCTAGTAATTTAGTTGGCAACCAAGTTTGTATATATGCAAAAATCCTAATGAAAAGTGAAATTTATCATGTTTAGGTTTTTTTTTTTTTATTTATTTAGAAAATTGATAAAAACTGTAGCACTGTTGCTGGTAATTTTACACTTTGTATAAGTACGATTGAAAGCACTGAAGTAAACAATTATTGTTTCAGTATTTAATACGGATAGTCAATATACTCAAATTTAAAATTCACCTTTGAGTAAGTAACAAGTTGTAACTTTAACAATCCGTATCAATCAACATTTTTGATTATATTACATAATAATTCGTAGTTGTTAACATACTGTGATAAGTTACGCTTTAGTATTTTATTCCATTTCGATTATTTCTCTAGAAAAATTTGAGTAATCATCATCGTCTTCTGATTCTGACTCTGAATCAGGTTCACCCAGTGAAATAATGAAAGAAGGAAACTCTTCATACGAAAAGTTTTGCATATATTCTTTTCGGTCTGCCAAAATAAGTTTTTCACAATGTCCACAAGAATTTTGCCACATATACATTCAAGCCATTAATTCTCCACTCTATCCTTTGATGAAGGTTCAGAATGCATGTGCTTGTAGTAATTCTTACAAAACCCCCATGCCATTTCAATCGGGTTGTACTGACAATGGTATGGGGGTAATTAATCTAAGAATTTGATTACCACTCTCTGACAACGTCTCGTCTACCAAATATCGCTTTTGAATATTTATCCTAAAAGGTTTAATTAAATCCCACAATTGTTTTTTCGAAATTTTGTGTTCATATTCAGTACTATGATTAATAAGCAGTCATTCTTGCAACTTTTTTCATTTGCAGATTGAAATTTTTTGTTATACGAAAATAATTTTCGGCATTTTACATTTTTTAATGATATAAGTCAGAAATGTTGCAACTTGATAAGATGATTTCTAAATAACAATAATAAATGTGGCAAATCAACTTAAAGTGAACATCACGCTCACGCACGAACAGACAAACCCGTTCTGTCAATGAATCAATCAGTTTATCCAACATGAAGAAAAAATTTCATGACTGGCGTTTGTCTAAAAACATCCTGAACGCTTTATAGTGCCGTCGTCGTCTTAATAATACAAAAACAGTCAACAGTGACCATGGGCGAAAAACCTCGTCGGTTTGTATTGTTAAAATAATGAGCGTTATGATACAAGACTTGACGAGACAATCGTAGGTACCGAAGTTATAAACGAAAAATAAGTAACCAGAAGTAACACCACGAAGTATCTCTAGTATTTATTGGTACCCGACTCTAGAATGTCAACATATTCACATTTTTAACAGCACAAACTGTCAATCGGGAACAGAACATGACCAAGACACCCTTTTTTCTATTTCTATAATAACGAAAAAAATCCCAGGCGGATTTTTTTTTGGCGGTGGAGGTTTCATTTCTGACTAACTTTCAGGGAAGAGGTAATTTGCTAAAAACACCGACTGACGCTGAGTCTAATTCAAACTCAGCGACGGGCTCTGAATCTCAAAGCCCTTCCTCAGAAACTGCCCCCACAAAACCTCAGAGGCCGTTTACGTTACAGGTATTTTTTGTTTATTTTATTTTTATTTTGTACATTTGAAGTCTTGCTTTGATAGACACGCCCAAGTAGTGCATGTTTTATTATTATTATTATTATAATTATTGCTATTTTTGGTTTGGGTTCCTCAACATTTTGCGTAACGATCGTAGACAGAGTTGTCGTTTTGTAGGAAATCAACGACGATACCTCTGCCGTCGAACGAAAGTGGTTGGACGAAAGTCAGCCATTCATCGAAACTCGAAGGACGCCTGATCTTGATAACATGGATTTGGAACAGTATCAGCAATCCATAGCTCAGTGAGTTTCGCCAGAATTGACACCAAACTGAATTCTGACTTTATATTTTTTTTATTATTATTAGAATGAATTCTAGTCTCAGCGATATCCAAACCGACATTCAAAGACTGGCCTCCCAACAAAATCAGATGCAAGCTGTTCAGCAACAAAGCATTATCGCCCAACAGCAGAAACAGATACAGCAGCTGCAGCAACAGCAACACCAGTATCAGAGCATGCAGCAGCAACAGCAACAGCAGCACTACGTCCAACAACAGCCGATATACAGTCCACAAATTTACCAACAACAACCTCAGCCAAGTTAGTTTTTTTAACAGAGTTGACGATTTACAATTTTATGTTAGTGTACGCTCCAGGTCTCCAAACATCGGCCAGTGCTCCGCATATACCTCAATCGTTATATCAACAATCCAGGGTTCTTGAACAACCTCAGTTCTTCTTGCACGACCAGAACCCGCCAATGACGCCTCCCGTGGTCACCCAGAGGAGAACGTGGGCTCAACAGCCGCCACCGTCCGTCGGGCAGGACGTATACCAGCCCGAATTACGGACTTGGAATAAAATGGGAGGGAGTGGGGGTGGTTTTGTTCTTCATGACACTCCTGCCGAAAGGTGTTTAGCAACCATATTGGGGAAATTGAAATATTAACACTTTCGTTGTTTATTTTTTTCAGGTACGACCCCAAGTACCAGCAGCCCGAATACCGCTTCGTCGACAACAGCAAATACCAAAACGGAGGTGACGAGCACAATCTGCATCACTCGAGTAGTTTTACGTTAAGTCAGCAACACCATCAACATCAGCCTCAGGTGTACGGAACCTCCCACAGCACGCCATCCGCCTCCCCCCAACATCGAAACATCCATCGGCAAATATCGCAGCTGATGGACGAGAGTAAACGAACCCCCGTTAGCCTCCAGCAGATGGATCGCGAGTCCCCGCTGAGGAAAACCAGCAGCGTAACGCATGCGCCCATTCCGGCACCGTCGGCCGACGATATGGAACCCCAGAATATCTCGTTCATCGGGAATGCGGAAGATCAGCAGCTCAGCGAAGGCCTTAGTAGGTAAGAGGAAATCGGCAGTGACGTAGAAACAAAAAAAAAACTTCCGACATAGTAAGGAATTAATTTTGGAGAGATTGGATCGACATCCGATTTTTTTTTTTTTTTATTATTATTCTTTATATTGTCCTTATAAATTGTGACCGAAATTGGGTCGCACTAATAAAATCTAGTTTAATTTAAAAAGTCAAATCGACCTGTGACCTTGGTGACGTATATTAACCATTGAGTAAAGATTAAGAAGAAATATCTATATTAGCACAGTTACAAATAAAATGACAATATTAACACCTCGTTGTGAAAAAAAAACAATACATTGTTATATGTTGCTTACGTCATACTTTGGCTATCTAAGTAGAAAGATAAAGTTAATCATCGTTGCTCATTTAATTGCGCTATAAAAATACATTTGTTTTGTGTAATTGTAAAAATTATTTTTACTTCCCGAGCGTAAGCTAAGAAAGTATTGTAATCGAGTCCATCGGGCGACTCACTATTTTTATTTTTCTCAACGTTTCCAACCCCCAGAGTACGAAAAAAAATAGGTCTTCCGTTTCACTCTGTCTGATTACCGTCTGTCCGGATTTTTATTAGACAGATAATAACCGGACCAATTGTTAAATTTTGTGTGTATGTAGATGATGCAACACTAAAATTTGTCTGCTCATCGCTACCAACAGTGGAATGACGTCATCTCCAAATTTTACAATAGTATAGTAAATGTTATTTATATTTTATAAAATAACGTACTCTTCCATTTGTGGTTTATCCATTCGTGTTGAGTTTTTGCCTTAGACATCCAGATTATTGTAAAGAAACAAAATGGTATAATAACATTTTACAATTTAATTGCAAAATCGAATGCTTTGAAATTTTGCAAACGTTTTAAGGTTATCGGAAGCATAGTAAATGGTTATTTATCCCCTCATGCACCCCGGGAATTAATTTATCTATGATCATCTTACAATTTTGTCTAATGAATGTTATTTAAATGTTAAAAGGTAACATAGTCCTGAATTTGTGGTTTATGAATCCGTGTTGCATTTTTGTCCTGGGCATCGAATTTTTTGTGAGAAAAATCAACATTGCAGATATAAAAAAAATTCGAGTTTTCGACTTTTCGATTCCTCGATTTTTCAACTTCCGATTTCTTCAATTTTTCGAATTTTTAAATTTTGGATTACTCACTTTTTTAATGTTCCGTTTTCTATTATGGATGTTTCAATTTTTCGATTTCTCGACTTCTCGATCGTTTGATATGTCATTTTTTTTTGTGTTTCAGTGTTCAGATTTTTCGGGTTTTCGATTTTCCAATTTTTCGTGATTTCAGTTTTAGAATATTTCAATTTCTCGATTTTACAATTTTTGCGATTTTTTAAATTTTGGATTTTTGAATTTTTAAATTTTTCGATTTCGCAATTTCGATGTTTTGATTTTTGAATGTTTCGATTATTTTTCGATTTTTTGATTTTTTAGTCCTTCCGATATTTCTATTTTTCAATTTTTCGAATTTTTAAATTTTACATTTTTCGATTTTTCACTTTTTCGATTTTACCTTTTTTTTTGATGTGTAGATGTGTAGACATCGGGAATTGAATTCTTAAAATTTTTCCATTTTTCAAGTTTTCGATTATCAACTTTTCAACATTTCAATTTTTTGAACGTTTCAATTGCTGGATTTCTTAATTTTTGGATATTCTAATGTTTCGATTCTTTGTTTGGATTGCTCGATCTTTCGATTTTTCAATTCTTTTTGAAATTAATTGTACGGACCGCGTTCCTTGGAATTTGCGCGGACCACGGGAATATTATTTATGTCACTGGTTTTGAGGGATTTGTTGGGCTGCACTTGAATAACTCAAAATAACCTTAGAGCAATTTTTTGCCACAGGTAAAGAGATGCATGTTATAAGTAATGTAAAAAAGTATTGGGTTTTGTATTTAAAGACTTCATTACGAGTAAATTAAATGAAGTGCATAGCATACGCTTGAGAAATTTAAATGCCATATACGAATATGATCCAACACGTATTAGACTTTATAAAATTATGTGTACAAGATTATTAAGAAACTATTGAATGAAGTAAGCAAGAAAATTAGTGTCGAAAATGAAAATAATCAGAATTCTTTGTGTAACCCAATATAAAACTGTGCTTTAATTCCATGCAGATAAACAATAGTTGCAACAATATTAGTGGACTGGTTACTAGATTTATTATTAAACATCAAAACATAAATTTGAGTGCCTGTGAATCATTTCTAATAAACAAGTTTCACTCATCATTAACCGCAAGACTCTCGTTTTCTGTTTTAATATTATTGTTATTTGAAAAAAACAAACTAAATTAATTCCTTTCTCGTGAGAAATATGACTTAAAAGTTGTATATACCGTGTTCGTATTGGAAGTTCTAATTCCTCGTATCTTAAAGACGCAGGAGGTATTGAATTCAAACTGTTTGATAAATTAAGGAATCGATTACCTTGAAGTATGAGCTATATTTTAATTTGCCTTAACATATGCAAAGTTTAGATAAGATATCCATAGTGATCTAAAGATTATACGAAATTGACTACAATGTGTTTATTACTAATAATGTTTATTATTAATAAATATTTAGTCTTGAACTTCCATATTGCGTTTGCTTTAGAAATATGTTGTCCTCTTGTAAATGCTTATACAGGGTGTCTCACAAAATTAATGTAGGAGAAGTAACAAATTTGAAGTTGAAATGTACCTGACATTAGTAACGTTATTTCCAGGCTATATTCCGTGTTTCCTTTACTGAGTGGTACACTAGTACACCCATATCGCGATGTTCTGACCACCTCGCGTTTAAAATTTCGCTTTGACGGTGGAAAAATAACAAACATTAGCGTGTTACGTCGTTCTAATCTAAATTTAATGTTTGTCGAAAAAATGGTTACAAAAATAATGGGAAGCTACGTATTACATCGTATCATGTAAGCTAAAAACAATGGCGTTTACAGAATTCAACCTTCCTAGCGTGAATTAAATTCCCTTATAATAATTATTACACAATAATCCCGTTGTTCCGCAACCAGTTGTTATTCGTTAGAAATCGATAGCTCCTGCTGTTTCAATACAGGGTGGGAACTCTCCAGAACGCGGTATATATAAACCCTACTTTAGTTTCTTCTTGTCATGTTGCAGGTTAAACATAACGTCCGGCAGCAGAACGTACAGAATCCCCTCCCCAACGAGGCCCCTCATCACCAGAAACTCCTTCCAACCGTCTCCACCTCCTGAAAAGGAAGCACCAATAGCAGAAATTAGCAGCTTGGACAATGATCCGACCAATCAGAAAGGTTTCTATATTCAGTTCGACGACGATCAGCCGAAGAGGCCGAAGCCTCCTTTGCGGACGAAACGGGGTTCGCCGAAGAAAGAAAGGAGTTACGTCGAGACGACGGAAGACCACGAACAGGAGATGAGGGCGGAGAAGAAAAAACTGCTCGAGAGGGAACTGGAGGACGAGAGAGTGAAAAAAGAGGACGAGGACAAAAGGAGGCAGATGCTGGTCGAACAGGAGAGAGAGAAGTTGCGAGCCAAACGTGAAGCTAGTCAAGAAAGTCAAAAGGTGGCGTCGGCGTCGGCGCTTATTATCGATAACGAAAGCGGCAATCCGGATCCGGTAAGTGAAGATTTTTTGTTGGATATTTAAGAAAAATTTAATAATGGAGCAATATCTTTCTACTGTGTTTTTTACTTTACTCAAAACAAGACATAACGTCCCCTTGATTTTAGCAGAACTAAATTTCATATTGATGAAACAGCGCAGGAAAATAACAGTCCTGCAGCATTGTTCACTTGAATTTTTCAATTTTTCGTTTGGGTTTTTTAATTTCTTTATTTTTTCTACTATTCGATTTTCCTATTTTTAATTTTTCTTGTCTCTCCATTTTTTAATTTTTCAGTTTTTGGATTCCTTAAATTTTTATTTCTTCAAATTTTTGATTTGCAATTTTTCGTTTCGATTTTTTATTTTCTTTATTTTACAATTTCTCAATTTTTCAATGTACCGATTTACAAATTTTTTTGTTTTTTAATTTTTCGATTTGAAATTTTTAATTTTTTTTTTTTTCCTATAATTTTACGATATGAATCTCTGCGAGTTTTCGTTTTAAAATTTTTCGCTTTTCCGATTTTCCAACTTTAGGGTATTTCTGTCAATTTAGAGAGGATTTATTTGGCGAAATTTTGAGATGACGTCATCAATTTTTTCGGAAGAGGTGAATGAATTTTGACGAAAGATTTGCCATGCTTAAAACGTTTTGCAAGATTTCAGAGTATTCGGTTTTGCAGTTTTCAAGTTAATTGTAAAATGTTATGCAATTTTAATTTTTTACAAAAATCTGGTTATGTAGGGTGAAAACTCAACATGAATTCTTACACCACAAATGCGGAATCAAATTGTTGGTGGGGATGGTTTGCGTTTTACCATCTACACGATAGTCCTAGAGTGACAATCAAAACGAAAAGGGCCATCGCGTGGCTTGCGCAGTAAAAGAAGTTACGTTGGTCGAGTCTATTCATAGTTCTCTGGGGATGGAAACATAAAGCAGTAGCGCAGTTAATTTATCTTACTTTTGTACTGTCTTCGTGTGTATGATGTCAGCGTCTCGTGTCTCTTGTTTTTTTTTTAAGTTATTATTATTTGTTTTGCCACTTTGTATTTATTAGCATTAAGAATTTTGTTTAATAAGGTTCTTAGAGCATTTATTATTTTAAGGACCTTTTATGATAAGTCAGTTACGCTACTGGTAAGGGATAGGCGCACATCTGAAGCTCCGCCCATGTTACCTTTCGTTCAGCTTGCCACTCTAATATATGTACATACAAAATTTGACAACAGTCGCTCCAGTAGTTTGGAAGAGTATATGCCTAATAAAAATCCGGTCAATCGGCAAACAGACAGACAGATGGAAACGGGAGACCACCTTTTTCGTAATCTACAGGTCATTCAACGTCGAGAAAACATGACAGTGGGAAGTTGTCCGATGGACTCGATTACTATACTTCCTTAGCTTACGCTGAAGAAGTAAAAAGTCTCTCTTTCATTTGTTTTCACTTTGATATTTGCAGAATATAAAAACATGAATTTAACGCAAGGCAAAATTTTTGAGCAAATAAAGTTCGAAAAGTTCTTTTTAGAAGTGCGTGCAACTTCGTTGCCAATCAGGTTGTAGTCCACAATTGTTGTATTTTGACAAAAATCCAAAAAGAGCTGTAAATGTGAATTAATTTGTCACTAGCCAGTGAAAGTTGACTGAATAAATATTTTTATTTGAAATTTAATTGTGCAGCTCGAGGAAGCTCCGTGAAGCAATTAACACACCAATTGACTGTACGTGTTTAAATGACGTTTAAGTCCCACTTTAGTTTGTTTTTCGGGAGAAGCATAACGACAAGTGTGTATGTCTCTATATGTCTATGTGTATTTCAGGATGCGGCGGAACGTATGAAAAAACGAATTCTGCTGGCCTCTTTGCAACGAAAGCAGGAACAAGAAGAAGCCAAGGCGCGAAAAGAACAAGAGGCGCAGGCGCGGCGCGAACGCGAAAAGGCCAAAGAAGAAGAGAAAATCCGCAAAAAAGAAGAACAAGCAGCTCGAAGGGTCGCCATTTTAGAGCAATATAAACTGAAAAAGGCGATGGAAGAGGCGGAAAGGGAGGTGAGCGATGCATCTTCTATCATCGAAAATAACCGCACTACGGTTATGATGTGACAGGGCAATAAAAACAAAACGTAAAAACGTGGCACACGGGCTTTCAATTCTATTTCGAGACGGGCGGTGATTCACTTTTTTATTTTCTTGGAGTGTCTGTGCAGTCTCGGCAGGGGCGGATCGGGTTCAAGTGAATGATTTTGTTTTTAGGCGTGGTGCAATTTTGGCGTATGCTGTATTTGACACTCGCGTTAAAATAATTATTACATTTATTTCATTATTCGCGCATTTTAAAAACTTTGTCAAATAAAAAATTCATCGAAGGCTATTTCGACAGAACTTTCCTCCCTCTAAAGTACAATAGTATTTTTTTATTATGGACCCCCCTCCCCTCTCCCATGAGCTAAAATTAATATATGTTACGATAACTTTAAAACGTCTGCAGGATTTCAGAGCATTCGGTTTTGCAGAATATTGTTATACAATTTTTTTTTATCTGGATGTCTAGGGTGAAAAGATAATACGGATTCATACACCACAAGTACAGGAGTGTCTTATTTTATAGAATTAAAAACAGATTTACTTCTGTAAATTTTGGAGGAACGTCATCCAATTGATATACGTACAAAATTTGACAACCAGTCCGGTAAATCGGACTTGGATTTAGGCATTTTTCGAATGTCTGCCTAAACGTCCATACTCGTGCTCTTCTTCCAGTCCGTCCCTGCTGTTATTCTTTGCTATTTTAAGGATTGTAAAGAGCGGAAAGCTGGAACGTTGAAACTGCTGTAAATCAGTCGTTTTGTTGTTGGTGCGGGCGTAGGGGTTTAGGGGATGTCTTATATTTATTGGTCTTTGGTATGGGAGTGCGACTTTCACATACACATTTACCTCATTGCTTCCGTCGTTACAGGGTAAGGTATTCGACAAGAGTGAGATGATGGGCACCTTGAAGCCCACGCCCAAGATGAGGCCGAAGGCCGCATCGAGACCTAGACCCAAAACAATTCACATCGACAGCGGGTCAGTTGAAATGGCCGAAGGGATGATGCAACCGAGCCGAGGGAAGAAGGGTTCTACCTCAAATCTCACAGGTATTTGAGTTATGGTTTGATTGCGATTGATGGAGTTGTTTGGGTTTTTGCATGATTTATTATGGGTTTGTTTATTTATGTTGTGTTTTTTTATACATATAGCTAACTCTACGATGAAGCGTGATTATTATCGCGGCTCGCAAGACAGTCTGGCTGATCGGAGCATGAGCAGTGGCATGCTTTACAGAGGTGTGTTTTATTTTTTTATTTTATTTACTCATTTATATACGGTTTTATTTTTGAGGGAAAATGTGTGTAATTTGTGTTGGGGATAAATTTGGGTACCTTTCCATCAAGTTTTCCTCGAAATTGAATTTGGAGCTTCCGTTAAACACAAAAATATACATATAAAGATTAAACGGAGTTTTGCTGTGACCACCGCTTTTCTGCTTTTTCATCTTTGGTGCACTACTTTATTGTGTGATTTTTTTATTATGGTATAAAAATACGCTTGTGTATAAGTTCAGTTTTCCATGTTAGAACAGGTTTTTTTGTCCTGCGGTGTGTTTATATTTTTTTGTGTACAAAGATTGTGTGCTCAAATGATCTATTTTTGGGAAATTATGGTGCTAATTTCAACGAATAACCACGTGAGTTGGAACGAATAGCATCTCATGATGTATATGATTACTGATTAATATGTTCGTAACTTCTAAGTTAAGCATATTGTACCATCATAAACTTCATTGTAATTGTACATCCTGTATCTGTGATTGCCATACACGATACAATAATTCTTGTAGCATAGTTAGTTGGTATGCTAATTTTTTTAATATTTCTACATTTTTGAATGTACGACGTTGAACAGTATTCAGCCCTAAATTTTTTTAATTTAACACTAAAAATAGTAATGGCAATGTACATTTAGCGATTTTAATCAATTATTGCTTGTAATATAATGAATAAGTTGAAATTGCGATCCGAGGCCCAACAACGAGAAAGCGTAATGACGTAATCGCGTCAGCTGCAATAATTTCCTAAAAGCTGTAAAATACGCATTCGGTGGCGTTCGTCGTCCACGACGTGCTTTGCTGATCAGATGGTGTTGGCCGCTTTCAGATTCCCCCGACGACAGCAGGGGAGTCTCTCCCTGTCATAACGCGAACCAAACCCTAGGCCGACGGAGCTCCTACAAGACAAGCAGAGGTCAGTATCGCACCTCAACAAACACACATACACACGCCTCCCCCCGTCCGTCTCCTTCCCGTTCTGGTACCCCGCTAGCTTGACGTATTTTGTACATGTTGAACCGTAATCGTTGTTTGGAGTAAACAGTAGTCAGCACGCTATTATATTCACACTTACGTTTTCGTTATCGTTGTTGTATTGTACACTTTTTCGTTTCGTTCGTTGTGTTATGTTTCGTTCCGTTATTTTGATTGCATCCATTTCATTTAACGATGAGAGAAAAAGAGCATAAAAAAATGGCGCCACGTGCCGTTATAATTTTTGTTGAGTTTCTTTATCGTTTTTTGGATTTGTTTTGTGTTTAAGTGAAATGGAACAGTAGTGTATGTACGTTACGATGTTTTTGCAGACCCCTCACCTGCCCAGGTCCGTGGCAGACCTAAGTATTCCAATTATCAAAACTTTAAAGGGCGCAAGTCTAGCTCTCTGATGAACTTGTACGGTAAGATGCCTACTGAAGGTACCAAACGCTAGATGTCTTGAGCTGTTATTGGTCGTTGGGCATGGTCTATGAATTTTTTTTCATTTCACCTTTTTATTGTTACTGTTGGTGTTTTTGATCCGACGATTCACTTGTTCTTCTTTCATTAGGCTTAGTTGGTGATGGTTCATAACGGTTTACCTTTTCCTACCACCGCAAAACAAAAAAAAAATGTATAAACACCTCACCCTTATACCCATAACTCATCGATAGTTAGCCCTGCCTGGTTATTTTATTTTTTATTTATTTATTTATTTATTTTTTGTAAAAATAAAGTAATGAACCGTGCTGTGCATACGTTTTGATTGATATTTTACGATAAACATAGTGAAGGTCGTATTTTGTGGTGCGAATAAAGTGGGTCCCGGAACGGAACCTTGACGTGCAGAGAGACCACGTGATACGTACCTTCGTATTTTGTTACATTATCGATAGTACTCATTTTTGCCTGGACAGTGTTTTTGTATTTGCATTTTATTTGTTATTGTTTTGTTCGTTTCATAAAAATTGCGATTCTTTTATGACGCCAACGCCATTTTATTCCGTTAGTCAAATTCAATTTTAAGCAGCTTTTGTTTCACGTTCTGTGCTATTTTGTCAAACTTAATAAATCACTGTATAGCGATCGATAAGCAATAAATGAGGAAAAGTAGATTTAGATTCTACTTGCGTTGAGATTTGATACAGATCTTTTTCCGATATTTTACTAAAATTAGCAAAGGTGAAGTGGTGGAATTCCCCTATATCATGAAGAGAAAATGAAAATTTCTTTATAGCACGTCACATGAGCACCTCATAATGAAAAAATTAAGCAACTTTACCAGTAACAAAAGAAACTATCCAGAAGTGTACGTGCGTACAATTTGGAGAAAACTAGGAATAAATGTCGGTTTATTTTTGTTTTATAGTTGATAGTTTAATTATGCCATTCTCATGGGATGTGTAGACCAAATGTAGGCCAATTTGTCGCAATGCGATTTAGAATCGTTCACGCATAATTTTTATTCACATAATCGTTACTTAAACATAACTCGATGCTAAAAATCGACGTTGGTTAAATTGATCTCCCTATGCGTTAACAGAAAATGGCGTCATTCAAATTTAGCACAAAAACGGAAAACAACCAACAAAAACGTGACCACAAAATTCCCCACGTACAAAATAACGCTTTCGTACTAATGACACTGGAAATCACACATTCGAGCAAAATTTTCGAAAATCTGCACTAATTTTCTTCACTTTGTCGGAACAACTTACGAGAAATTTAACAAAGCTTCCAGATCACGACGTTTTTTGCCGTTCACCACAAATAACTCCCTCTTAACAAAGTGTTAACAAAGAATGTACGAAAAAGAAAAAGTAACGAAATAAAACGGACTAAAAACGGTGCGGGGCATTACGAATTAACCCACTGGTAAAAAAGGGGGATTTTGGTTCATCGTTGTTCTTCCACAGGTTCTAGCACGGACCAAGACAGTTTGGCGTACCGTTACGGCGACACCGATTCCGGGTTGGGCAGGGCGACGCCGCCACGTCGTGCCCCGTCGCCCGGAATGGGGAGCATGCGGCATTTGACGTCGCCGTCGGGACCGGGGAGCCTACCCGGACTGATGACCAAAGGAAGGAGGATATTCGACGACGGATCCAGTGATATTAGTTCGACGCCTAGCAGTATGATGGATTACACAGGTAAGTTAAAGCGAAACCATCTACGTTTATTAGCCTTATAATAACCAAGACTTGTGTTCAAAGGCTAATAGTTGTTATGCAGAATATTTATCAAAGTTAACAATTTTCAGGTCCACGGCTGTACAAGCAACCGGCGACGAAGTCGAACCGCGGCATCATGCTGAACGCGGTCGAGTACTGCGTCTTCCCCGGCGTGGTGAACCGCGAGGCGAAGAAACGTGTCCTTGAAGAAATCAACAGGTCGGAAAGCAAACACTTCTTGATATTGTTCAGGGACGCCGGTTGTCAGTTTAGAGCTCTCTACTCGTATTGCCCGGATCGTGAAGACGTGACCAAGTTGTACGGAACGGGGCCCAAGCAGGTCAACGACAGAATGTTCGACAAATTCTTCAAGTGGGTACAATTGATCGTTTGTCGCGAATTAAATACTGATGCATGTTTTCGGCAGGTACAACTCAGGAGGCAAATGCTTTTCTCAAGTCCACACGAAACATTTAACGGTGACCATAGATGCTTTCACGATTCATAACTCGCTTTGGCAAGGTAAAAAGGTTAATTTACCTAATAAGAAAGACATGCCACTTGTCATTTAAGTCTAGTTCGTTGTTAATTAGTCATCTAATCTTTATTAATTTTTTTTTTTATTTTTTGTTAACGCTTTATTAAATGTTATTTTTTTAATGTCGGTTAGCTGCAACCCCAGGAGTTTATTTTTAGTTTCACGGTCGGTAGTTTACATGCCACCGATGCAATGTCTGAGATATTAGGTGAACCACCTTTTTACCAACAGTATGTATTATTTTCTGTATTCTTTTAAGTATTATGTGCCTTTTTTTATATACAGTGTTGAATGTAATACCGCCTTTGATGTAATTTTGTTTTTCGAATTGTCGGCTTTTTCTGTGCCAATTTGTTGAAACGATGTACTTTTGACCGCTTTCATTTCGTTCTCCTTGAAAGTACATGAGTCCATGAAGCAACAATAAGAAATCTTATTAGTGTCATTCCAATTGTATTTATATTTAAATAGATTAGATGAAAAAAAAACGCAGGGCTGTTTTCGGTGGATCAACGTCGATTTCTGGACGATCGTTAGTTTGGAAATTTCAAAAAACATATTTTAATAGTGGATCGGCGGAAATCAATGTTGGATGCTACCCGGTTTTTTAAGTCACTAAAAAAACGTTTGCTTGAAATATATTTGTAAATTGTTTGTATGGAAAACACTAGCCTTATAGTGCTTAGTTTTCTTTTTCGTATGTCGTTTGACTATCGATTAAATCGATCGCAATTTTCATTCATACTTTTCCTATTGTGAATATTTCAATGTATTCTTTCGCCCAGTCAACGTGTTGGAACGTTCTATAAAAAAAAAGTGGAACCTTTTTTTACCTAATTGCCTATAATATCGCATTATGTTATGTAATATGATGTTAACACTAATTTTCTTTTTCTGTACATATTCTGTTTTTATAATATACAAATATTTATTAATTTACACTTATACGAGTAAAACACTCAAATGTCAAAAATAAAATTGTAATAACCCACTTGTGTTTTTCTGGACCAGGTTAAAATATCGCCTACTCCATTTTCCATTTAATAAGTACATAATGCAAAGACGTCCCAGTTTTTTCCCGGAGCGTGGCGGAATGGAGTTGGTTAAAGCATGGCCGACTAGTATGAAGACTATGGGCTGTCCAAGAGGTACCGTACGTGTTGACATCTATTAATAATTACACCTAATAATCTAGCAAAATTTTAATTTGACTTGACATTATGAGACTTCAAAACGTGTAATGGTGGCCTTTGTGCCTTTCAAAGTGTTAATGATTCTTTTGTCGTTTTTGAATTATTAATAGATGGCAGCACGTATGGTACCTCTTGGACAAGCCATAATCTTTATACTAGTCGGCCATGGTTAAAGTAACACCACTGGACTAAAATTGAAGTGTTTATTAATCTTACATTTTAAATATTACTTAAAAAAGTAACGTCAGGTACAAAATGTAATTATTTTAATCGCTCGACTTGCGTACGACTCAACCATTCCTGCATTCAGCGTCACTTAAAAAATAAATATTTGATATAATCGTTTGGTATTACAATATACAGTGCGACACAAGTGTTACAAAATCGTCTTAAATCAACTAAAATAGTTACGTCTTAAACTAAGGCCCGAGGCGACTGCGCCCCGACCCTCTTACATATAAAAGTATCGTGAAAGTCTTATCTCCGTAATAAATATGCTTGAAAAAGTGATAAGGAACTCGAAGAATAGTCATGGACTCGTCACAGGCCTTTCTCCCCTAGTAGAATCAAGTAATACACGTTAATACTATTGGACGTATGATTTCGATTAAGCGACATATCAAAAAAAAAAAAAAATGACTAGAACTGCAACTGCTCATGGAAATGCCGAACACGTATCGAAGGTCGTCGATCTAAATAACACAGCCTCGCGTTACGTCTTGTTTGACCGAGAAACTTGAGCACTCGTCGCTGACAACGATCCTGACATTTCCACAATTACTGACGAGACGGCACTGTGATCATCGACAAACCCACCCACCCGATAAACTCTACACTTTGGAAATGGCAAAACCGTTCGCGGGAGCCGGGTTGTGGGTCAGATAGTCTCCTTCCTCGTCCTTCTTCTGCACGCCGTCGTCGTTGTGATGTATGACGTACTTGCCGAAATTCAACAAGCTCGAACTCGACTTCGACGGGCCGAGCAGGGGCTCCCTGGGGCAGCAATTGTCGGAGACCGACTCTTGCCTCAAGGTCTCTATCTTGGCATCGAGGGAGTGCGACGGTGCGATCCCGTTGGGTATCGCAGGCGAAGCCTTGATGTTAGCAGCCGAACATTTGCGGAACTGATCCGGAAGGTTGATTTCGAGCTGGTTGGTGTCCTCCAGTTGGACTGAAGCCAAGGGGACCTCGAGGCAGGGGACGATCAGGCGGGGGTTGTTGGCCAGGAATTCGACGATCTCGGAGGCGCGAGTACGCATCTTGGGGTCTTGGTGCCAGCAGGACTTCAACAGACCGCGTCTGGAAGACGGAAGTTAACAAGAAATGGTAACGATCGCTTGGTAATGAATACAAATTTTTATCTGTAGGTATAGCTACGAGTTTAGGATGTCTTTTTTTCATTTTCAGATAGCACCTTTTTCTGGATATTTTTTGTTGCAACAAAATAATTTTCGGCATTTAAAGTTTTAATCAGAAAAGTCAAAAATATAGCAACTTGAAAATATAATTTCTAAATAACAATAAATGTGACAAATCGGCGTTACGAACTGAAACCGTTTATCCAACGTGAAGAAAAAATATGGCTCACTTTTGTCTAAAAACATCCTGTACGGTTTATAACAAAAAATACTCACAGTTGCGTCTTGACCCCCGGAGGAATGGTAACCGTATGTCCGGCCTTCACGTACTCCAGAACTTCCGTGTTGGTCATCCCTTGGTAAGGAAAGCTGCCGAACGTGATGATCTCGTACAGCAGAACCCCGAAACTCCAAACGTCAGACGCCGGGGTGAAAACTCCCAACGCCAAACTCTCCGGAGACATCCACCTGACCGGCAACATCCCCTTCCTCGTGAATTTGTAGTAGTCATTTTCGAACATGGGCCTGGTCATACCGAAATCTGCTAACTTGACTATCCGTTGGGCATTTATGAGACAGTTCCTCGACGCCACGTCTCTGTGAACGTACTTCAGAGACGCCAGGTAGCTGAGACCTCTGGCGACATCCAGGGCCATCATTGTCAGTTTCTTGCTCGAAATTTCGTCCGATTCTTCGATAGTCTTATCGTTGACGAGATGGCGCCGAGCTAGAAGGAACGTCTTAAGGTCGCCATACAACATAAACTCCATTATAGTGTAAATGGGCTCTTCTTTCGTGCAGACGCCGAGAAGCTTGATGATGTTCTTGTGCTCGAAACGCTTCATCACCTACAACAACCACAACAAAAAAATCCACTGCCGAATTTAAATTAACTAATTGATTTACTTCAGCCTCCGACAAAAAATCCAGCTTCTCTTCGGTGCTCGAGCCGATCTTCAGTGTCTTGACGGCCACGGCCACCCAACCCTTGCCCGGGAAGTTCGTCTCGCCGCCGTATACCGTCCCGAACGCTCCTTCGCCCAGCTTCCTGTTAATGACCACCGAGTTCCTCGGGATCTCCCACTTGTCCAGGTCCGTGATCTGCGACGGGTTCAGCCTCAAGTCGATGCCGAAGTGTCTCATGTACTTCTCGGTGTACTTCACTTTCTTGTCGTATCTCCTCTTCATCACGAACACCACCGCCAGCACTCCCAGAAACAAGAAGCAGATGAGGATGATGTTGAGGATGACTATGGCCATTTCGCAGTTGACGTTGAGGGTCTTGGCGAGGCTCTCGAGGGCGCATTTGGGGGGCGCGGGGGTTCCGTCTTCGGGCCGTTGGCTGTCGGAGGTGAACCAGCGCAGGGTTTCCTGTTTGAGATCGAGGGTGCCGCCCAGGATGATGGGTTTGTCGTCGGAGACGTTGGGGTAGAAGTGACCGACGACGTGGGACTTGTTCTGGTACCACTGGATGAGGTTGATGTTGGAGAAGCGCGAAGGGCCGCCGCGGAATTTGATGTGCCCCGACACGCCGAGAAAGTCAGTTTTCTCGATGAGTTTTACCAGTTTCCTGAAAAAAGAGCGAGAAAGAAGTATCTTGTACTTTTTGTTAAAAATAGTTGCCTTGTAAAAATAAAAAAAGTAGAAGTAAGAGCCGAAAGTTTAACATTGCCAGACACACAGTGACAAAGCGATCAAAGTTATAACACCCCTCTTTTTCAGTCGGGGGTTAATAAAAGAACAAAAATGGCACTTACTGTGTACTTGCTTCCGAATGTAGATCAGCAACGGCCTCGGGATCGCTCTTCGTCAACTCGTCCAAAGCTAAAGCGTACGTCCACACCGCATCGTACGCGTAACCGGCGTAGTCTGACATTTTCGTCTTGTAGCTTCGGTCTCTAAACTTCTTCTTCCACTCGTTCACACTTACATTACCTTGGACGACGGTCTCGTTGGGTGCAAAAGAAGAATGAGCCATCGAAAAGTAACCAGTCGCTGCCTAAACGAAACCCTTAAGATCGGCCCACGGCTACCTTTCGAAAAAAAAAACTTACCTTTATCATTTCCTTCGTGGTGCAGTTAATAGTTTCGTTCTTGTATTTATTGAAATAGTCGGTGTCGTACCAAGTGTCGTTGAGCCAATTCGGAAGAAACCAAACGTAACCCTCGGCCGACGTCATTTTCAGATGGTAAGCTTCGCAGAAGACGGTTCTCGCGATGTAATCGAACACGTCCAAGACGATAATTCGGGCGCTCTTGCGTTTCAGCTCTTCCAAATACTGAAAACGAAATTTAGCCGAGTGCGTCCGCGCCAAAAACTCGTCTTACTCTAGTCATCTGCGAGGTGTCTCTGTCCCTCGGGAACTTGATGTTGGCGATGAATGTGATGTCGTTCTTCTCCAGCGTGGTCTGCATGTGCGAGATGTACTCCGTGTACTTCTGGCCGTCCTCGGTGAGCGCCGCTACCCGCTTCCATCCCAACTTCTTGAACAGCTGCAAGTACACGTGCTGGTAGTCCTTATTCTCTCCGATCGTGCGAAAGAAGAACGGGTACTTCTCCCGATCCGAAAAGCTCGAGCCTTCAGCGCTGTACGAGATCACCACGGTACGGTACAACTTCGACACACCGGCCAGAGGTTCCACCGTATCTGAGCACGCAGGCCCCAAAACGCCCAACAGATTGTTGTAGTAGGCGTCCGTGACGTAGTCGATGAAGATCTTCATGACGCTCTCCGCCCGACACTTTCCATTCTCGATCATCAAATGCAACTTGTAGTCTTTCAGAATGGAAGGGTTGTCGTTGATCATGGCCTGTGCCATAACGGCACCTTGCACTATTCCCGGCCCGTTGTAGGAGGACTCGTGAAGGGGGAAGATCCCTCCGATGTAGATGACGTTCGTCTCGGGCCCGATGAACCATCCGCCCTGGCGCAGTTTCACCCACTCGCACGCGATTTGGCGCAAATCGCTCCTGTCGGTAGCTTGTTCGAACACGTCGAGGAGCAAATCAAAGTCTTCCTCTGAAAACTTGAAGGTCCGGATGTGTTGGAGCAAACCCAACGCTTCGACTTTGTTCCACGAGATTTTGACGATCCGGTACGGCTCGTATTTGCAGCCGAGAGAGTAGTTGGTGTTGAGGTAGTCGCACTGGGGGAAAGTCACCCTGATGAAGTACCTCTCTCTGAGGATGACCTCGCTCGGAGTGTAATACATGATCAACAGACTCTTGTCTCTTCGATTCTTCTGGTACTCGGCCGTCAGATAATCCACAGTCTTCTTCAAGTTCTTACCTACGAAAGCTACTTTCACGTACAACTGGAGTTCGTTGATGTGGTCGATGGCGAAATCCATGGTGTACGTGGAGGTTAAGAGGAGTGCGCAAGGTGTGTTCTTGCAGTGCGCTGGAGTGTACACACCTTTCGTGCACTTGTCTTCTGGGCAGTTGTAACTCGTCTCGTTATAGCGAGTGTTGTTGTAAATGAAAGCCATGTTTCGACTGTCGACGTCAAATTTTTCCATTACTTTCTTATCTCTGAGGAATGTCCAGTGGACTTCTCCGATGTACTTATCCCACTTTTTGTAGTAGTTGTGGACGGGAGCGTCCAGTTCGGCAGGGATGTACCATCCGAAGCGCCCTGGCGGTCCGATGTCTCCGAGTTCCTTCACTAGCTTGCTGTCTTCCATGTTGGTTACGTCGTGTCCTGGGGGCACCCATACTTCCAAGTCGAGCATGGCTTTCGGGATGCTGGAAAAGCATGACCAGTAAGCAACGATGTAAAATACTTAAATGATGGCCGATGAATTAATCTGAACTTGTTTTTCTACAAAATTTTCCAGACAATTCTATAATATACCACATATATTCCTAAATTTTAGGGAAAATGGAGTGAGTCGTTTTTGATTTAATCATTGCAACAAATGACTGAGATGACGTTATCAATTTTTTGAGAGGGGATAAACGAGTAAAGAGCATACGGTTTTGCAGTTAAATTGCAAATTGCTGACTTACACTTTTGATTTTTTTCCAAAATTTTGGGTCTCTAAGACCTCAATATAATACCAAATACCGTTTCAAATATTCGCAAAGTGCGTTTGAAACGATCCACTAGATTTGATTGCTTTAGTTTACCCAGAACGAAAAGATTTGCACTTGTTTGAAGCCTTACAATTCGTTATTCTGCAGTTCCAACGGGGACAGCTTGTTCACTACCCGTTCCGTGTCAAATTCATTATCGTGTGTAACGATATCTACTTTTGCGAAACCGATCATTTCTTCTAGAAAAATCTTGAAAGCTTCGGTGCTTAACCGATGGAGAGTCCGATCCGAGGTCTGTATCACAACGCTGGTATGTTGATCCATGTAGTGGATGTATTTTTTCGGGATGAGCGCTACAAAGTGAACACACAAATTTGTATATAATTAATCCTAGGATAATGATAATAGCGAACTTACTGGAAGAATTTAAACATCTCCATTCCTCGTCAACCGTCAAGGCGACAGGTATCGTGCTCATGCACCAAAGGAAAATTATTATTGGTCCAATTTGTGTGACGTACATCTTGTTTCAACTGAAACAAAATATATATATATTAAGAGTAACGCAATCCCGGACACCTGTTTCTTTATTACAATTTAATAGAACACCGGAAATTAAAATACGAGGGGAACGCATGCACAAACATGCGAAGAACTTATTCGCGTTAACTTTACCATTTCCTGTGAAAGTGGAAGTTCATTACTTGCCCACGTATGTTCCGATACAGAAACAACGCTAAATTCATTTTCCATTTAATTACTTCCGGTCGCTGTTTTACAACTTGCATTTAAAGTAATTAATGTAGTTGTGCCAAAAATACAGTTACATTGCTACCAACGTAGAGACATCAATCCACCTTTTACTAATGCACAGCAGAGACTAAAGCCGACTAAAACGCTCATTATGCACGATAAATATTTATAAATCTCCGATTCAACACAACAACATTTCGACGTTTAAAGCTTAATTTGTTTTGTTAGTTGTTTTTTTTTTAGTTTTTGTAATGCAAAGTGTGTTGTGAGGTTGTGAGTAACCGTCTCGACGATAACCTTGACCTTCAATGATACGTTTAATTTAATTAATGCGGCCGTCTGTGTTTAATTTAAATGAATTTTTTTCTCAAAGTTGAAATGTTTCTTGCAAATCTAAGAAAATTTTCGAGGTGTTTCGGAAGTGTCATTATGGTGTTAGGTTGGTGTTTCGAGGTTCGAGCGAGTTGGTTTTTTGCAGGTTTGGTGGATGCGCCGGGCTAACGTGTTATTCAATGTTTCGATAGTTAATTAATTAGTTCAACACTATTATTATTAGTTATTATTAATTTCGACGTTGAACATTGTGTTCATAGTTAATTAAAAAACAATTAAACACTTTTTTTTTAAAACGCTACAAGATTGGGAAAATTTGTTTTTACGATAGTAAGTCAAGTCGGTGGAACGTTCACGAACTGTCAAATAAGGTACGAGACAAAAAATTATCACGGTGTAATTTTTTAAGAATTTTTTATTATCTAGACCTTTGACTAAATAATACACCCAGTAGAAGTTAATTTAGTATACAAAAATGCTTTTTTCAGTGATATTTTTGCATCAAATAATTTCTGATCTGTGAAAACTCAATTGTGTCAAGAAATTTTGAGACAAAAAATTATCACGCATCACTTTTTGTATAAAAATCAATTAGAAAAACGTAGTATGCGTAATTGTTGTTTATTTGTATGATATGCACGATATGCAATTGTTTGTTAGAACTGATAAAGTGTCGAAATATAATTGGCTGAGCTACAATAATTGTCTTTCGCCATGGGCAAAGAAAACGATTTAACAGAACGTGAAAAAGGGCAGATTGAGGCATACTATGACCAAGGTTTGACTTTTGCGGAAATATGATGAAAGACTGGAAGAGATCGGACCACAATCTCCAAGTTTGTAAGAAAGAAATACAGTGAAAATGGACGACAAAATTGTGGAAGAAAAGAAAAACTCACTGTACGTGCCAAAAGATCCATTGTGACTCCGGGTATAAAGGATAACATGTCGTCTCAAATGATAAAGACGACCCTAGGACTACCTGTTCACAAAAGAACAGTTTTGCGAGTACTGGCTAATGACATAAATGTTAAATATGCCAAATATAAGAAACAACAAATGTTAACAAAAGAACATATTCAAAAACGTCGTGAATGGGACAGAGAAATGCGGACGAAAAATGAAGAATGGTTCCAGATAGTTTTTTCAGATGAAAAGAAAGTTAATCTTGATGGTCCTGATGGTTTTAGATATTATTGGCACGATTTACGGAAAGAACCAAAGTATTTGTCAAAACGAGTTCAAGGAGGTGGCAATGTTATGGTTTGGGGTGCCTTTAGTAGCTTAGGAAATAATAACTTAGCATTAATCAAATCGAATGGACTTTCTGAATTACCAAGATGTGTTGGAAATGCACCTCAAACCACCTTTGAACCTATTTCAAGACAGCAAAGTGGTTTTTCAGCAAAATAATGCGTCGATTCATGTATCTAATTCATCGAAAACGTGGTTTCAACAACAAAATATAGCTTTGCTATAATAGCCTGCGAAAAGCCTACATCTCAACCCTATTGAGAATGTATGGAGTTCTCTTGTACGAGAGGTTTATAAAGATGGGAAGCAGTACGCAACAGTTAATGAATCGAAAGATGGTATCTTGGGGGCTTGGGAGAATTTGGACGTCAACTACTTCATCCATTTGGTCAATTCTATGAAGCAACGCGTCTACAATCTCATAGAAGCAGGTGGAAAATACATTGGGTATTAAATTAGTTTTCATTTAGCTAGTTAGTTTTAAGCGTGATAATAATTTGTCACAATAAGTCTGTTAACAAAATTACATATTTTCAATAAATTTCGTTCAGTTTAGTGTTTTCTGTGAAAATGTTTTATTAAATTAATTAAAAATGGAATTGCTCAATCAACCAGGTGTCTTCACTTTCTTTTAATACATTTAGGCAAAAATTCTGCACCGTGATAATTTTTTGTCTCGTACCTTATAATGAATAACGACGGCTCGTGCGGCGAACTAGATGTTGAATCATTCACAGGTAAGTATCACCAACTGGTTTTTTGTTAAAAATTATTGAACAATTTTATTCATAAAAGTATTGTTTGCAGTCACAAAAAAACATAAAATTCTGAGGGAAAAGTGCAGCGGGTTAATTTACAAAATCGTAGGGAACTGTGGGTCAATAGAACCAATTAAGGAGACTTTTAATATTAACAAAAATTTTCTACGCCATTACGTACTTAAATTATTGCAAAATAAGTCAATATAGTTATTTTATTGTTAAAAAAATGAAAAACCATCAAGAAAACATTGTTTTCCATCAACTAAGTTTCAAATATACATATAGTGTTTTAAGTTAAAATGTAACTGTTTCTTCCTTCATTTTCTACTATTTTTACAATTTTTCGAATTTTCATTATTCCAGTGTTATAATTATTTATTTTTTTAATTTTTAAGGTTTTAGTGTTTTAATTTAATTTTTCGTTGTTTCAATGTAAAATTTTTCAATTTCTGGATTTTTCAATTTTTTTTTCTTCAATTTTACGGTTTTAGAGTTTTTCATATTTAATTTTTCAATTTTTCAATCCGTCCATGTTACAGTTTTTCGACTTTACAATTTTGACTGTTCTATCATTTTTGACTTTATAATTTTAGGTTTTCCAATTTTTCGCTTTTGCGTTTTCCTTCTTTCCAAATTTTCGATCCATTTTTCAGTTGTTCGCTTTTTCAGTTTCTCAATTTTTAATTTTTCGATTTTTCAATTATTCGTTCCTTCAATTTTTCAAATTCTTAATTTTTTATTCATTTTCCCGATTTTTTAATTTTATTTTTCTCGATGGAGCTTGAAAAATTGAGGAAAGGAAAAGATGAAAAATCGAAACATCAAAAAATTAAAAAACTAAGAAATTTAAAAAATGAAAAAATGTAATAAATTGCAAAACTTAAATATTGCAAATTGAAAACAACGTAAAATTGAAAAATTTGAAAGTCAAGAAATTGAAAAAATGAAAAAATTGTAAAATTGGGAAATTTAAAAATAAAAATCAACAACTAGAAAAACTGAAGGAACGAAAAATTGAAAAATCGAAAAATTGGACATCGAAACATTGCAGAAACGAAAAATTTTTTAAATTTGAAGTCGAGGAACTAAAGAATTTTATTTTTTATGGTAACACTTATACGAGTAAACTAGCTTACGCTTAGGAAGTAAAAATTCCATATTTGCCTTTTCTGTTAAAAAAAAAATTATTAATACAATACAATTTGACATAATATGATGAACACAAATACCTACTTTATACACAAAAGGCGTTCAGCCAAAAATTTTAAAATTCTGTCAAAATTATGCGAAAAATTGTTTACGATATTACGATACAGACTTCAAGATTCAATTGCTTATATTTTTTACTTTTTTTTTTAATTTCTATTTGTTAAAGCGAGCAAATTATACTCCTGACGTCATAAAATTAAAAAGTGGTTACAAACTTTGGACAAAGAAAATATATTTTCATTTAATTTTTATAGTCTTTTAAAACAGTAAGCCAAAAATCTCACAGCCATTGTAAAAATTGATAACAAAAACATGTTAAACTGTACTTAAATTGAAAACTGGCAAAAATAATTCGACGGTTATTATTAACACGATTCCATTATTTAATTTTATTGCATTCTTTATTTTTGTTACCCTTCTACCTCGTATGTGTTAAACTTCGACTTGAGTTTTATTCAGAAAACTTTTGTTACACATTTTATATCGTATATTCCCATTTTTCCAAAATAAATAAAATAAGTGAGCAAGTTTCAAAAAACTAACACTTCACCATAGCGCAGCCCATGAAAACCCGCCAAAAATTCTTTCACTTCGACAACACCAAAAAAATCCACGCCACCTTTAAAACCAAAAACCACCATTTCCCCAACTTTCGACGCCGCACGACCCATCACCAGACAAAAACAAACACAATAAACACGAAATCTGCAATTCAAGTTCAAAAAGAAAAAACCCTCACCTTTGCAACTGCATGCAATATTCATAAACTCACTCAAGACCGATCATTGTTTGCAGCGACCGTCGAAATTATCCTCAACCTCTGTATTTTTTTCAAGAACTTGCACCGCAGTGTTGCCGCACGATCGCGCGTCGAATGCATCGGTGCAGCATCGAAAAAAACAAGCGCGCATCGAGCCGAATAGGAGGGAGTTTCGACCAAAACAACAAGTCAAAGGGCAGGAACAAAAGAACGCAAGAAAACAAATTTAAACCAGGTTAAGATCAGAGGTCAAAGTGTCGTCGGCGCCCACTCCCGCATTAACGCAATTAAAAGAGGGACAATTGAATCACGGCGCCTCCCCTGACGCGGCCATGGCACGCGCTGGTGGGGGGCGCGCAGGACCGTAACGCCGGGAACGGTCTAGGTCTAAAAGTGAACCGTTTTCGACAGACGGCAAAGAAATATTGTGCAGTCCGAGATAACCAACGAAGAAAACTTAGTTAAGATAAATATTTGCAGCGAACAAGCTGGGGGAGGTACATTAAGAAATTGATAAAAAACTCAACTCCAATATAGCTCCATTAAAGCTAAAATTGGTTTTTTTAACATCTTTTGCCTTTCCGATAAAATTGTATCATCTTATTAAGGTAATATTGGAATGAAAATTATAACTTTCTGTTACGTTCCTTTTTTTTTAATAAAAAATACATCCTTATGCTAAAACATGGTATTAAAAAAATTGCTTTAAAACGATGTAAACAACTCATTTGTGACAAAAAATCGAGTTATACCCGTTTACCTTTCTGCCACAGGATTGTTCTAGCTTAAATTCGTCCAAAAATTGAAAATCTGAAAAATCCACTAAATGTAACATTTTCCGAACGCAAGGTAACCTCGTCCGCCGCCTCGACCTATTTTCCAAGCCAACTCCGTAACGAACCCCATTGATTTAAGGGGTTGCAAATGAGCACAACTCCCCGACGCTCCACTTTTCAAGCCAATTTAATTAATTCGTGTTATCCATTAAACACAAATCCACCTCTAAATCTCTCTATTTTCAATTTACTCGACGGCAGACGTTAAACACCCCATCCATCACCCCCCGCCCACCTTAAATTGCCCAAAAATCCTCAAACATCCCGTCAAGCTCGCGCGATAAATCTCTGTGGACGCGTTTGCTCCCGAAGGACACAATTTCAGGACTTTTCGATTTCGATCAAGGACTCTCTCGACTCTTTTACGTCTGTGGCATGAATTATTAATTTTTTGAATAAAACGCATTACGCGCCTGCAACGCAAATAAAGTCAAGGTAAGACGGCAACATTTCCGCGTTCTGGGAACAGACAATTAATTTGATTAATAACCTCCAAAAAACGAGGTATTCGCCGAAAGTCGGAAAGAAGCGGAGATTT